TTCTTTACAATATGACTAATCCTAACATATAAGTATTTAATCTTATTTAAAATCAATATATCCCTCAAAATATATATTACAATATATCTCATTACGATCAGTATAATATGTCCATACTCTATTCTATGGTAATGTAGACTTATGGAATTTATTATTTTGTATCCAACTAAGATCCATATGGAATAATTAAAAAATAAAACGAAGAAAATTACTAGGCACTTAATAACCAAGTTCAAATTATATTTTCTGAAATGAATAATCAATACTTAAACCAACTAAATTCAATATAAAAATAAAGTCTTTTTCAGTTATATTCTTCTATTTTTGTTAGTTTCTTTTGTCTTTTAAGCGTAATTCCAGGTTATAAGCTCATTAAAATAAAACAATAAAAATTTTTAAAACTATTTGCAACTTTTGATAGATAAAATCTTTAGGAAATTTTATCAGGATTAACTTATTAGCTTTCATTTTGCAAAGGGTTTGATGATAAAAATAGGCTATTAGAATCAAAATCAAGTCTATAAAGTTATGTAAACTAAAAGGATTTAAATCAATAAGCATTTATTGTTCCGGTAAATATAGAGAAAAAGTTAAATATTAGTAGAACTTCTACTTTAAATTACTCATTAAAATACTTAATATTAGGATTAATATGCATTTTCTGTTTGATTTCAATTTACCCTTTAATAAGTTATGTACTAATTGATAATTTCATAGAAAACTCATAACTAATATTCGACTTTAACAGTAAAAATAATTATTTTATTTCAAATATTTAATATTTATTTTAAAATCATTAAAAAGATGTAGTTTGCCAATCCTACTTCTTTATTTTAAATTCCATCAGAGCAAGGCAAGGCTTAGCTGAAGCATTCTTATTACCCTCTAAGTAATCAATTTCAGTTAATGCTCTTTAAGATATATTGAGTTAAATGGTTTAGTAAGCAGATTAATTACCTTCACTAATCTAAGAGAATATAGGAAAAGTTGATTCGATAAATCTATATAATAAAGATATATTTAAAAATTATTTGATAAAAGTGTACACAGAAAATGCATGCGATACAATATAAAATTATTCATAATATCAAAATGGAGATTTTCTTTATGATTAGTGTTCTACTGTAGGCAAAGGTAACCTACTAAGAGGATTGCTTTATGGTGTTGTTTATTTTATAAGCGTTTTTAACGAGTTTTTGAATTTTGCATTCAGCGATAATGTAGAAGAGTTTCAATAAAAATTTAATTAATATAATTTAAATACATCAGCTTATAAATAATTCTAATTTAGAATAGAATTATCGAAAGCTCACGAATACCTTATGAATTTTTTTTAAGACTAAAACCTTTAACTATACAATTTTTATGAAAATGTTGCAATCATTTTAGTGGTTGTTTAAATGCTTTTTGTGGTTTTGGTGTTCTTAGTATGCTGGTACTTTTATATAAAAAAATTAAATTAGCTAATTACTTCAACAAGATAGCTATTAGATGTTTTTCCACATAAAATAATACTAAAAAATACATATATTATGTCCTATTTAAGATAAAATGAATGATAATTAAGTAATAATAAATAAATTATATATATTTATTTGGTAAAATTTTATTGAACAAATTTAATTTTTTTTATATTACTTAAGAATATTTATTAATCTTTAAATTTAAACAAAATATCAATAATTATAAAATACACAGACACATAAAAAAATGTTATTAAGATAATCAATCATTTTTGAATTTCTTATTGTAATTTTTTAATTAGATATTTATAACTCATAACAAAAATTATAACATAATCTAATTTTAAAATATATTTGTTCTATTTTATTTAAAGATCAATCAAATAACCTATTAAAAATCAAATCAAAATTAAAAAAATTTTTTTGAAAATATTTTTCCTTCTTTGAACTTTTTGTTTTATAAGAAAATAAGCTGGCTGCTTACACATATGAAATTTAATTTTATTATGTTCTTTTGACATGAAAGGATACTATATCTTTAAATTTTATATATTATAGCACTTCCATGAACTAAATTCTTGTTAAAGCTGATATGTAAGAATTTAGATAAGCTTTAAATTAGATTAATACAATAAATAAAAAAGTATTAAATTTAGACATTTAAGCCTTTTTTATTTTTTTTTATAAACAATTAATTTATCATTTAATTTATTTTATTATTTTAAAATTTTATGATAATAGATAAAGTATTTAAAAGCAATTTAAAAATTATTTTATGAGCAAAACTTTAAGAATTTATTACAAGGATAAATAAACATGTTTGTTATTAAAAGAATATAATTTTATTTATTAGATTTACTTCAAAATAAATAAGTAAGTAAAAGTATCAATTACACATAGAGAACGAAAGAAATAACTTTAGATTCAATGCATTAATTAAGCTTTCTTATAATTATAAATAATTTTAAATAAAAAAGTATAAAATCAATCATATTACACTATTTTTTAATACCCTTTTTTTAAATTAAGATCATATTTTGATTTATAACAGAAAATTTTAATTAATACTAATCAAAATAATATGAAATTTAGATAAAGTGGACAGAGTTAAAAAATTGATTGAAAAATTAATTAAAAGATTGATATCAATGAAAATTTATTAATCATATTATTTATTAATTAATTAATTAAATTCTATTATAAAGTTATTTATTTATTTTTACTTAAATAATATTCAAACACATCAACCATACAAAAGAATATTAATCTCATATATCTAGATTTTTGAATGGCATTTGACTTTAATCATCTTTGATTTTTAATATATTTTTAAACATATGTTTTAAATAGAAATATTAATATTTAATAATAAATTTTATATTAAATTTTTTGTGATATCTCCTCCTAAAACCAAACTTATAATTTGTGTATGATAATTGTTATAATTAATTTGTTCGTTCTTTTTATCCAAATTAATTTGATATAAAAATAAATTAATTAAATTTCGATAAATTAATTGCTATTCAATATTTTACAAGAAAAAAAGAAATGATATTATAGAAAAGTGAATTTAATAATCTAGAAAAAGTAAATATTTTTTTTTTAATTAATATTGCTTAAATTTATTTTTATTTATAAAAAAAGTTTTTAAGCTCTAAACTTTATTCTCATAAAGCTCTTCATATTTGGCTCAGGTATATTTTATTTATTACATTTATTAGTACTACTATTTTTTTACATTTAACTTAAAATTTATTTGCAATATTAGTTTTTTAATAGAAATTTTCATCTTTTTTGATTGATTCATTTTTATTATACAAATATTATTTTAAATTATCTTAATTTAATTTTAAATTCAATTTTTATTTTGATTATTAATTAATTATTCATTTTTTAATATTTTCCTTCTAACTAACTATATATTTTTTCTTCAATATTTATAAAGTGAATAAGAAATTGACCCAATAAATATATCAGACTTAGGTTCTAGTTTAAGTATATGCCCTAATCTCTCAAATTTGTACCTTAATCTTGAGTAAAAACAGTTTATATTTTGGATTCTAATATTTTAAAATATAAAAATAAATTTTAAATAATATAAATGATTAACTAACTCTTTTAATTTATTTATTTGATTTATTTTTCTTTTTAGTATTCTGCTTGTGTTTTTCTTTCTTTCTTTCTTACTTTGTTTTAGTTAACTCACTTTTTTATTTACAAAATTTTCTATTATTATTAATGAATTAATTTCTTATTGTTTCATATTTTTTCTTCAACTTTTTTTCTAACTGACTAATTTAATTTTTATTTTTTATTCAATATTTAAAAAGAGGTAATAATTTTGGTTCAATAGGTGCATCATGCTTAGGTTTTGAATTAGGAAAGTGCACTAATCTCTCATATTTGGAACTTATTCTTTCGTAAAAACTATTAATTTGTTTTGGATTCTGATATTTTTTAAAATTACTTAAAATGAATTTAAAACAATATACCTAGCTAATTCTTTTAATTTAATTATTTATTAGCTTTATATTTGATATATTTTTTTTGTGTTTTTTTTCTTTCTTCCATTGTTAATATAACTCGCTTTTTAATTTTAATTTTTGATTTTATAATTAATTTATTAATTAGTTCATTTCTTATTATTTTACATTTTTTTTATTTTTTATTTAATATTAAGAAATAATTAAATTGATGATGAGGGTGTATTAGGTTTAGGCTCTGGTTTAGAAAAATGCACTAATCTCACAAATTTTACACTTGAGCTTTGGTAAAAACTATTTATTTTTTTTGAATTGCTATATTTTTAATTAAAAATGAATTTAAAAGAATATAATTAACTCATATTATTTATTTATTACCTTTTTATTTGATTTATTTTCTTTTTTTATTTCGTTTTACGTGTTTTTTTCTTTGTTTGTTTGTTGATTTAAATAACTCATTATTTATTTTCAACTCTTCATTCATTATGAATTAATTAATTTTTTATTGATTTTTTCCTTCTAACTAACAAATAAACTATAAATTTTTTCTTCTATATTTAAAAAGCACTAGTAAAATTAGCTAAATAGGTGTATCAGGCTTAGTTTCTAGTTTAGGAAAGTGTACTAATCTCTCAAATTTGAAAATTGATCTTTAGTAAAAACTTTTTATTTGTTTTGTATTGTTATATTTTATCATAAAAAATTAATTTATAATAATATAACAAACTCTTTTAATTTATTTATTTATTAATTTTCTATTTAATTTTCCTTTTTTTTATACCGCTTATGTTTTTTAATTTAATTCCTTTTTTCATTTTCAACTTTGCTTTTATTATTCATTTATAAATTATTTTTTTTTCTTTTTTTTCTAACTGCTATTTAACTATAATTTTTTTCTTCGCTTTTTAAAAAGTTAGAATGAAATTGGTGCATTATGTGAATCAAGCTTAGGTTCTGCTTTAGCAAATTACACTAAACTCTCAAATTTGCATCTTAATCTTAGGTAAAAATAGTTTACTTGTTTTTTTTATTATATTTTATCATATAAAATGAACTTAAAATAATATAACTAGAATACTGCTTGTGTTTTTTTTCTTTCTTCAAATATTAATTTAGCTAATTTTTTAATTTTCAACTATAGTTTTTATTATTAATTTATTAATTAAAAACTTATTACATATTCTTTCCTTATAACAAATAAACTAATTAACTTTATATTTTTTCTTAAATATTTAAAGTTCTACTTAAGTTGGTGATGAATATATATCAGACTTAGGTTATAGTTTAGGATAGTGCCATAATCTCTCAAATCTGGAGCTTAATCTTAAGTAAAAGCTATTTATTTTGTTTTTAATATTGATATTTTTTAATTTAAAAATGAATTTATTAAAAAAACAATCAAACTATATTTATTTATTACATTTTTATTTGATTTATTTTCTTATTTTTTTATTCTACTTGTGTTTTTTTTTTCTGACAACTAATATGATTAAAATATATGTACCTAATAAAAGAATTTTGACTAACCCCCCTCCCCTAATGACTTAATTAGACAGCAGTTGTTATTGTATTTGCGTTATAATTCAACAATAGGAGGGTATTATTCTAAATTTATTTATAAGGGACATATGTTTGAATTGTATTAATTGTACTTTCTTTCTTTCATTGTTAATTTAACTCATTTTTTCATTTTCAACATTTGCTTTTATAACTCATTTGTTATTATTTCATATTTTTTACCTTCTAGATAGAAAACTAAAAATATATTTTTTCTTCTATATTTAAAAAGTATGAATAAAATTGGCGCGAAGGGTGCATCAGAATTAGGTTCTGGTTTAGGAAAATGCACTAATCTCTCAAATTTGACTCTTCATCTTTTGTAAAAACTGATTATTTGTTTTGGATTGGGATACTTTCTTTTGTA